ATGCTACTTGCCTTAAAGTAAACCTTGATGTCTCTGTGTACATTAATCAGTCATCTTTGGCGCAGAAGCGTCTCTTCAGGTCAGTGATAAACTTCGTGACAGTTTATGACAAACAATTGTCAAAATGATTAAATTTATAACCACATTTCTGTTTCCTTTTGTTGACGGAGGGGGATTCGGAAAAAAATTCATTCAACTTTAGTATTACCCGATTTTTTGTTCTTGGCATAGGTAACTTTGAACATAGAAACGTTCGGAGATAAAAGCAGCCTCTCTATTGGTCAACTTAATCGCCTTCCAGTTCTCACACGGTTAAATCCTGGACAATTCTTTTTGCGAATTACGGCACAGTTCGGGACAGGGAACATGTCATTCACGGGAATGGCGCGAATTCTGGGACACCCTGTATAGAACTCGTTTGTCCTTCCCGAGCGTAAGCAAAGGAAGTATTGTAATCAAGTCCGTCGGCCGACTCTCTACTTTTATGTTTTCTCGATCTTTCATGACTCCTAGAAGACGAAGAAATAGGTCTCCTATTACCGTCTGTCTGTCTGTCTGTCCGTCTGTCCGTCTGTCCGTCTGTCTGCCGTCCCGGATTTTTATTAGACAGAGAATCTCCGAAAGTACTGGCCCGATTGTTGTAAAATTTTATTAGGAATATCATGTAGATGGTAAAACGCTAACCAAAATTTGCCTAATCATCCCCACCACTAATGCGATGACGTCACTTCAAAATTGTACATAGTAAATGGGTTTTAAATTGTATAAAATCACATAGTCCTACACATGTAGTTTACGACTCTGAATTGAGTTTTTACCCGAAACGTCCAGATTTTTGGAAAAAAAATCAAAATTATAAAACAACATTTTGCAATTTAATTTTGAATCTACTAACCCGAGTGTTTTGAAATGTTGCAGATGTTTTAAGGCTATAAAGAGCATCATAAATCTTTAGTCAAAATATATTTGGTTATTCCCTCCAAAAACTTGATGACGTCAGATCAAAAGTTTGCCGAATAAATCCTATCTAAAATGTAGAATACATATATGATGAGTCTGTACTTGTGATATATCACTCCATTCATATTTTTGGATTTGCATATACAGGGTGACTCAAAAAAATTAATGAATGCGTAAATTTATTTTACTGATTTACTCAGGAACTACAAAACCGAATGCTTTGAAATCTTGAAGGGGTTTTAAAATTATCATAAGCATGGTAAATTTTTGACCAAAATCTATTTGGTCATCCCCCCTAAAAAATGTATGACGTCACCACAAAATTTTGATGAATAAATCCTATCTAAATTGTACAAAATATGATGAGCCTGTACTTGTGATTTATCACTCCATTCGTATTTTTTGGATTTGCATATACAGGGTGACTCAAAAAAATTAATGAATGCGTAAATTTATTTTATTGATTTACTCAGGAACTACAAAACCGAATGCTTTGAAACCTTCAAGATATTTTAAAGTTATCATAAGCATGGTAAGTTTTTGATCAAAATGTATTTGGTCGTCCCCCTTAAAAAATTTATGACGTCACCACAATATTTTGCTGAATAAATCCTATCTAAAATGTACAAAATATGATGAATCTTTTCTTGTGATTTATCATTCCGTTTATATTTTTTGGATTTGCATATACAGGGTGACCCAAAAAAATTAATGAATGCGTAAGTCTATTTTATTGATTTAATCAGGAACTACAGAACAGAACGTTTTGAAATGTTGCAGATGTTTTAAGGTAATAAAGAGCATACTAAATTGTTAGTCAAAATATATTTGGTTATCTTCTCCAAAAAACTGATGACGTGAGCTCAAAAGTTTGCCAAATAAATCCTATCTAGAATATACAAAATATGATGAGTCGGTACTTGTAATTTATCATTCCATTCATATTTTTTGAATTTGCATATACCGGGTGACTAAAAAAAAAATGAATGCGTAAATTTATTTTATTGGAACTACAAAACCGAATGCTTTGAAATCTACTGCGAAAAAAAAACATAATAGGCATGCAGTCGTCACATTTCCGTCAGGGAGGGAAATACTGTCGAAACTCTTTAGACCAATTTTTTTACTAGCTGTAAACACTTCTAGCGATGCACTGGCTACGACCTTGTGGACCAGATCAAGGCGTCCCCGCTACTCGCGGTAAAACACACCTTACTTCAACTGGGGGATTGCAGCGGTGAAACAAATTCCCGCCTACTGGTAATAAGTAAAGAAGTTAGACAACGGCAGAATTTTAAACCGCAAACAATTTTGCATTCTCATATAATATAATAAAATTTTTAACTGCATAAATGCTATAATATTTTATCGGTTTCTGTCTATTAAATCTGTGTTACATTTATAAAAGTTGGCTGGTAGATAACCCACAACTGTATCCTGTATGTAAAATCGGTAAGGTAATATTATTACCTTACCGAAATGTTAATAGTCAACATTTGTTAAGAAATTGAAAAGCAATGAATGTGAAAATCAATAAATCTAAGTAACTTTATGTATTCAAACAGAAGAAAACTGTAAATAATACCTAATAGTTTAATATAACAATGAGAATACAATTCATGGATGACATACCCAATTTCTTCCAATGGAATTTATTCATGCCCTTAATTACATGTGTATCACAGCGATATAGCTATTTATGGTCCAACGAAAAAACAGTTTAGCACACGAAGCGAAGATTTTTTCCAATTTCGGAAAATTTTTGAAAAAATTTATTGTTTAGGTAATCCATATACAGTTAGGGACACGGAATTAAAGGTCACGCTTTAAATTAAAGGATATTTCTTAAAAAAAATTAAAATATTTGGATATTTTTGTCTGTAATATTGTAGGCAGCCATGTAAAACCAGACACTTACCTGACATTTCGTCAACATGCCGCAGTCCACAATTAAAGAAAAAGTGGAAATGCTCACTGATGGACACATTAAAAGCTTATAGAGAAATTGCGCAAAATTTTGCTACAGCATACCCGTATCGTCCTATACCCCGCAAGAGCACAATTCAAAAATTTTATGGCAGAGATATAAACACAGGTTTTCTCGATCACGGACATCAAAAAGGCAATTTCAGTGAAATTTTCTTTTATTTCCTTCATTTATGTTTGAATTCCATCATTCTGTTTTTTTTTTTCTAAAAACTGCAGTAATAGGTATTTAATGGCTAAATTAAAATTATGCTGTCAAAAATGACAAATTAAAGTGATAAGTCAAAACCTTTTATGATGTACCAACATTTTTTAATCAAAATAATTTTAATTTTTTAAAGCACAAATTAATAATTTACTGCAAAAAGTGGTAGTGGAAATTAAAGTAGAACCCTAAGGCTAGTTTCACCGAAAAAATCGTTTCTGGGCTTTCACCCTAACAAAAGTTAACATGGGGTCTAAAATTTAACATGGGAATCCCTATGGCCACTTTTAAAAAAGATACACTGTATATTGCTAGCATGGTAAAAGGGTTTTTACTGGTGGACAGAAGGATATGACTGGCAAGCAGCAGGCGAAGAAGTCACATTTTGGAACCAGTAAAACCGTTACTATGCGTGTATTGTTGAATATTTTATTTATTCCTCACTTGTAAATAACTAATTATTCCTATAAATTCGGATATTTGGAAAAAGAATCGTGTGAGTTTTAAACGTGCAACCTTAGCACGGTACTTATTGTGTTGTTTAATTGTGTCATTTAGATTTATCGATTTATCGTTTCCGATTTATTAAAATGAGCAAGCTATATTATTAACAAAGCAGCAAATGTGACTGGAGGTTCGTTGCCTGAGAAATCTTCATCTTTGGCTGAAATTTTTACAGGCTACCCAGTTAAGAGATGTTTTCAAGTTGTATATTGTGACTTGATAAATTGATGTTTAAAGTCTATTTGTTATAAGAATTCCATAGTCTTGTAAAACCATAACAAATAATAAATATTTCTCAAACGTTACTATTTTTGTCTCACTTCCTCTCATCACGGTTGAGATGATACGTATTGCCTAGGGGCGGTCCTAAAGATCTACTGGAAGATGCGTACAAAGCAGAAGTTCTCAAACAAAAAATACTCTTTTGTTGAACATGAAAAGGAGATGTTTAATGAAATAGATGAAATGTAAATTTTAAGTTAGTGTTATGTTTAATTTTCAGAATACCTTACTAATGGGAAAACGCATTAAGACTGTACAAGTGGACGGTGGAAACTGTTTATTCGATTTTGCATTTTGCCTGCAACAAAACTGTTACTACCATTTTTTGTTACTATCCGTCGGTGTGAGTTCGCAGTAAAGAAATACGCAGTGGACTTAATTAGCGTATATATTAAGACAGTAACAAAACAAGTGTTCTTTATAAGTTATTCCTACGAACTAAAGGCACATATGTCTCGAGTGGCCAGATTGCCCCTCGAGGGTTGAGGGCGGTACGACCCGAGGCGAAACCCGATATCGGTCGAGTCTGCATGAAACGAAACAAAAACATAACAGACTGTTTGCCAATCTCTGTCAAATTTCGGGTTTCACTCCGACAGGCGGAGCGAGAGCGCACATGCGCTTAAGTTAAAATGAGATAGCGTTTTGTTGTTCTTGTTTCTCACGCAAAGTATCGGTGGCGGAAAAAAAAGAGAATGAGTTTTACAATATCCTGGGAAAATGATAACAAATGGAGTACACAAGTGAGAAACAAATAAATGTTGTTTAAATAAACAATTATCAAAAACATTTTTTAGATAGTACTTTCTAATCCAAAATGAATTGAATGTGTTCTTTAAGTCAATAGAGTCAGATAGAATCAGATAGAATCAGGGGAAGTTAATGCCTTAGCTTTTTATTTTGTTCTTGATTTTACGAATTCACTCATTATTGGTAAATTAATAAACAAATATTTAAAGTCTAGTCTAGTTAAAGGTAATTACGAGTAAATACATAAATAATAAATGTTGTAAAAAATATATATCATTTGTGAACTAACAACGCTAAGCGTATATTGTTTTAGGAAGGAGTGAAGGTATCTTTATATTATGAGGCCCTCTGCTACGATAGTTCAAGATTCTTAGCATATCAGCTTTACCCCGGTTACGCAAGTCTTAAGAACTATATTCAGTTAGAATTAATTCCATTTGGCAAAGCCACAGTAAGTAAAAATAAATGAATTATTGTTTGTTTTACAAATAATTTCAGCACAATTTCTATAATAACAAATGGATTTTCGACTGCCAACATGGTCCAACCGAATGTAAAGGCAACAAATATCAGTCTTGTGCCTTAGCTCAAAATAGTGGTCAAGACAAAGATCTGGCATTTGTTCACTGTGTGATGAGAGAAACAAATCCTGCAGATGTTGCGATAATGGAATTTGTATGTGTAAGAAAATCGGAAAAAGTGTTGATAATTTATTAAATATTTTGTAGTGTGCTAAAAGAATAAATTTGAACTGGGAAAAAATTTCCAAATGTGCTAGAAGTCATCAAGGGGATGATCTACTCGCTCATAATGGCAATAAAACAAATAATTTGGAACCAAATATTTCTTTTGTGCCGACAATCGTATACAATGATGAATTCGACGACTATCTGCAAGAAAGGTCACTTGTTGATTTTGCTGCTGTTGTTTGTAGCAAAATTAAAGGAGAGAAGCCAACTGCGTGTAGAGGAAAGAGATTGCCAGAAAGGAGAAATTTCCAAGACTATTTTTCCGATTGAAAGATGATTTTTATTTCTAATTTTTTAATTCTTAATCTAATTAATTAAATGAAACTTTGTATAGTCGTATATGTTATCTGAAGTATTTGTCGACAGACATTAGTGCACTCGAGTTAGATTAAATCTGTCCACTCGGCATGATTCAGCAGATTTTTCGGAAAATTTACGACTCCACGTATAATCAGTGACTATAAATAAAATTTTTTGTTTTATTCTTAATAAAAGTCTTTATTATAACATTAAATCGCTTACAAAATTAATCAATAGAAACATCTTTCTTGAAGAAAAAGTTAGAGTTCGGATTTTCGTGAAAAATTATAGTTTTGTGTCAGTATTTTTGATAGTTTACGAAACATAAAATCCGAAATCTAACGAAACAGTTAACAGTTTATATAATTATTATTAACGAAATAAATTTTATAACTCAAATCACAGCTTCAAGTTGATGAGAATTTTATAAATTTAACAAGAGCTTTTTATTGATGGGTCAAAATGTTCCTTTTATTTAAATTTAGTGCTTTAAGTTGTTAGTGTGTCCCTAAAATCTGAGATAAATTCGATTAAAGTTTAACAAAAATGTTTGCAAAAACTCAACATTTAGAACACGCCTTTAGTTTTTACTCGGACCACATTTTAGGACAATACTAAAATTTTTTGGTTAACAACGTTAGAGTATAATACCATCGATGTTTGTTTTTTATCAAAACTCTAGTTTCTAAACTAAAATTAAAATATAAAAAAAACTAAAACTAAATTATTAAAATATATAAATCCCATTAGGTACATAAAAATAACTTATTAATTTCTAAAAAATAAAAAAAAATTCGTCGAAAGTTATTTCGGCAGAACTTCCCGAGCCCCTGAACTACAATAAAACAACTTTTTCGAAAAAGTATAAAATTTGATTTTGTGAATTTTATCTTTTTTATGAGAAATAATAAAATAAAAGTATACCTAGATGTAATGTTAATGTAAACGTAAGAAGCGTGTTACGGGTATGTTTCAAATGAGTTTTCCTTTAAAAAATTATGTGATGACGTCATCAACATTTTTGCAAGAATATCTATATTAATTTGGACAGGTGTAGTGTAATACTAATAATAACATTTTGTCTTCCCAAATTTTTGGGAAAATGGAGTGAGCCGTTCCTGATTTAATTAATATTAATATGATTGTTTCATTCATTTTTTTGAGACACCCTATATAAATAATTTTGAAATATATGAATGCAATGATAAATCACGAATAAATTTTGCACATTTTGTGATTTATTCGGCACAATTTTGAGATTCCGTCCTCAATTTTCGGATGATGAAAAGATATATTTTATTGAAATACGAAAATTTACCACGCTTACGATAACATTAAAACGTCTGCAAGATTTCAAACCATTTACTTTTGCAATATAATTTTGAGGTTTTGAGGTCATCATATTGTTGGTAGGGATGATTAGAGAAAGTTTGTTTAGCGTTTTACCATCTAGTGATATTAATGATACACATATAGAATTTGGTCCGGTAATTTTGGAGATTATCTGTCTAATAAAAATCGACACAGGCGGCGGACCGACAGACCGGAAACGGGAGTCTACATTTTTGTACTCTAGGGGTCATGACACGACGAGAAAATATGAAAGTAGCCAGTCGTCCGGTGGACTCGATTACAGTACTTCCTTAGCTTACGCCCAGGAAGTAAAAACAAAACAAGAATGACTGAAAAACTATAATAATATGTTTGCAAAAATGTTAGCACACTTCACAGTTTGTTCAAAAGCCGATGACACTATAATATTAAATATGTTGAACTGTAGAGACAAATTTCATTTTCTATTTGTGAAATATATTATGTGGAGGCTGTTCTAAAATGTGTAATTTTTTTTCAGTTACTTTCTTTTTTTTAGAGTTTTGTTTAGTAAATATAATGAAGTTTGAGGCAAAGAAATTTCAATTATTTTGTTTAGTAAAAAATATAAATTAATAATAATTAGAATACAGTGGCTGCCAAAATAAAGTAGAAACCCTCTTGAAAGGACTTTTTCAAAAGATTTAATTGGGTAAACTGGACTCAGTTGAATACGTATCCATTAACAATGACATTTAAACGTTAATACAAATTTGAAATGTATGTAGGTAGGTATATATTAAAAAATATATCGTTAAAATCAAAGAATTTAAAATTATTCCACAATATATAGGTCGTGAAAAACTTTAAGTAGCCTTATGAGAGCATTTTTATCAATATCGAATTTTTTTATCGATTTTTTCATTAGTTTATAGATGCACGGTGTAATATTGCGCCCAAATGTTGATTAAAGTGATGGAGCATTGAATAATTATATTTAAAAAATATACTACGAGAATAAGTGTCTTGAATATTTGCACATTTGGTTTTTAAAAAGCACAATTTAGAAAATTTTTTACCAACTATATTTAAAAGAATGGTGATGCAGTGGCAGACTTTTCAAAGTTCCACAAGCACGAAGTGGTACTTATTTCTTTTTTACGAATGTGAAAGTTTGGTGCTTGAGCCGAAGACGGAAAGTATAATGCTTAGAAGAAAGAAAAACGACTATTACTGAAAATCGGCTCTAGCCGTAGGTGTTGCAACATACACACCATTCTACTAGAGTCATTCACAATAAAATTTATAACTTCAGTTTTTATTAACGGAAACGAAAATACAGTGACTATTTTGCTTTCTATTAGTATTTATTAAAAAAAGAATTAGAGTAGAGATTAATGTTCCGTTTTAGATATACGCACACGTGTATAAGAACAAATGAAAAAAGTATTTATATCTGTTTAGTGTTATAAATATTTGAAAAAGTGTTTTTTGCGTGTAATAGTATTTGGTGTTAAATTATTGTTATAGACTTTGACACATTGTTAAAATAGTCACCTACGTTATCTTTCATTCTAGAATTTTCACATTTACTTATTCTATTTAGTTGAAACTGTGTCAGTATGTAGAAAAAAGTATACAACAAATTATCAGCAGTCCAATCTCTCGTTCATCCATGAGAAAAATCTTTACGTTTCTCTTTAAAGTTTTAGAGCTGCTCGATCCACAGGAACTCTTGTATCATATAAAGAAGGAGCCTGAAAAATTATTCCACAAGTTCCGCCAATACATGCTAACGTAAACACCCACAGAAAAAATCGGTCTAGTACCATTGAAACAAATTTCCAATCTTCAACAATCTAAAACTACAAGGTATAAACAAATTACATAAACGGGAATAATTACCTCATTATCTTTATCCGCGTCACTAATATGTTGTGCAATAAACCTAACACCCTGTAGAGCAGAAAGCACGTTAGCAGATAAAGTCCTGGGAGTCATATTTGAGGATCTTGAAGAATGAGCTTTCATCTTATTATCATCCTCAGGATTCTGCAACACAAAACTTGGTTCTCGTGTTGTAATTTTAAAATCCGTATTAAATGGATCTCTCATATTCAGTCTAAAAGAAGCTCCCATAAAAATTGTTTGTTTATTTGTAAAGCAATTTACTGCAATTCCATTTCGTTGGTATAACCTCTAGGAGGGAGGTTGTCGTCATATTCTGGTAGAGTGTACGTTGTTCTACGCATAATTAACAGTTTTGGCATAAACTGAAGGAAGATTTTGCGTACAAGAGGTGACATTTTATGTGTCGAAGGAGAACGGAAGTGTACATTAAGGACGCACACAGTCACCCAAATAGAAGATGTTACTAGAATCATTGTGAAAAGTAGATATTTCCCGAGGAGCGGTACAGCTAAAGAAGTAGGGGGGATAATTTCGGCTAAAAGTAGGAAGAATACAGTTAATGAAAGTAGAATAGAGACACAAAGTGAAACTTTTTCGCCAGAATCAGAAGGAAGATAGAAAACAAGTACAGTGAGAAATGTGATGCCAACACACGGAATGATGAGATTAACGGTGTAGAAAAGAGTTTTTCGTCTCATGGTGATCTTGAATGTGATATCTACAATGGTCTCTGTTAGTGTTAAAGACTAGTTAAAGAAAAAAATGTACCGGAATAGGGTTCGGTGCAACAAGGGTAATATTCCTCATTTCGCGTTGCGGGCACTGCGAGAATATCCCACTCGACAGAAAGGTAGAATTCTGATAAGTCGATTCCAACGTTTACTATGTTACTACCAGGAACTTGGTCCATATGTTTCAAGTCAACCTAAAATAGCAAAGTGATAAAAATACCATACCATTGGTACCAAAACTTACTTGGAAACCATTGTAAGTCCAGGAGCCAAATTTCATTAGACAACTTTGTTCATCGAAGGGAAAGTATTGGACGTTGATTTCGCAAGAAGATTTGTATATAGAAGGGGGTTTCCAGATTACTTCACCAGTGTAAGAAAGAGTAGCTTTAGTCATTAGAGTGACCTCGTAATTCCCATCAGCGCTGTTATTTTATTATTATTTTAGTTTTATTTATGAATCTTTCACCACTTACTTGTTGAAGAGAACAATATCTGGTAACCATATGTGTTCTGAAGGGACATATAACATTTCGACGCCTCCATATTCTTCCGGGTCCCACTTTAATTTATAGTCAAACCACCTCTACCAGTTTTCAGTTTCAGTTTTTAATTTTTGCACTTAAGTACATGTTTGAAGATCTTTCTTACCTGCACAACCCACAGATTTGTTGTCATTATCTGATTCTTCAAATTCATTTCTATCAACTGCGAGACTTTTAAACCCAGCCATACCGTCAAAGTTTGGGTATGATTTTCTACAGGTCTGATAAGTCTATTGTAGTTACTTAGTAAATCGTCGTATAAACGTTTAGCATCAGGATTTGCTTCAATGTGTTTAGTGCCGTCTAATGGAACACGCTGTAGGTTTATTAGAAATTGAAAAAACCCTTACCAATATTTTTGAAGAAAACAACAAATAACAAACATAAACAACATTTAAACTTCAACAAGTACATAACTATTTAATTTTCAGTGAGTTACACCCACATTTCTGTGATGCTGGTGCTTGCTGGACCAGTTTTCAGCAGGAAAATCGATGCAAAGGAATACGACAAAGCGCATGAACCGTTAAAAAAGTAGGTAATTTAATGTTTGCATAAAAGTTTAGACAAAATGAATCTCTAAAATCGGAGTTCTATCAGACATTTAAATAAAATTGATGGAACATTTATTAGTTACATGTACAGTTGGTTTAAAAAAAAAACGGGACAAATTACAGTGACATAAACGTCATATTCCCATTGCTTTTCATTGATCTATGAGAACCTGATTTGCTCATCTTGTCCCGTTTTTTGTGAAACCAACTGATGTATGTAATATATCTACATAACGAGGCTGAGAAATGTGGCTTTTAAAATTGTGTAAATATATATTATGCTGTATATCTGGAAAATGCCGGGTGTCTGGAAAATGGTGAATTAACTCTACGCTACATGTCGTAGTGTTCGTTAAAAGAAAACATTTTTTTACATTTAAATAGGTAGGTACATTAAAAATTAACGTCAAAAAATGTTATTGACTGAAACAAAATAACTCAAAACCACAGCTGTACGTATTTACACCATTTCCGTAACACCGAATTGTTGGCGATTGTTAAGCTAATATGATGCCCTATTTATCGTATTGTTGCTACACGTAGTTGCTATTAAGCTTAATTCAATTATTTTTAACACTTTTTTTTTGTAGCTCTTTACTGTAACATCGTTAATTTCTCAGATCAATATGGGCGTCGAATAATTACTTCATAATCCTTATTTTTTATATAATTTTTTTTTCTTTTAAACCGCCATTTTCTGTAACAAACAAAGAGATGGCGTTTTTAAACATTTTTCTCCTTGTGTACGACATCCCTCAATCATGCACCTTGAAGGATGTTCGCGACATTCCGAACACCTGTAGAGTCATAATACTTTACATATTTCAAACAGGATTTACTCGGCAAAATTTTGAGATGAGGTCATCAATTTTTTGGAAGGGGATAACTGATTAAATTTTGATTAACGATTTACCATGATTGAATGAACAATCGCAAATTTTGAGGATGACGGTATCCCATTGGTGATGGAGATGATTAGCCATTTTTGGTTAGCGTTTTACCATCTATATCGCTATGCTTAATATACGTATTAAATTTCATAACAATTGGTACGGTCATTCTGTCTAAAAAAATTGACACAAACGACAGACAGACGGACAACAGACTAACCGAAACGGGAGAGCCCTGGTTTCGTACTGGAAGGATCATGAAAATCGTTGAGCAAACATGAAAGTGGCAAATCGCCGGATGGACTCGATTACTGTACTTCGTATCTTACGCTCAGGAAGTCATATACAGCCTGTTATTGAAAGGTACGTACAAAATAAAATCGGCAATTGGTCTCGAAGTATGGGTGCTAAAAGTTAAAAAAAGTTCAGGTAAAAGTGTTCTCCTTTTAGAGATAAAAATTATTAAAATTTATGTCCAAATTCGATGTAAGCCTCTGATAAAAAGATTATTTTTCGTTTCTATAGCAACATTTAGTCTTGACAAAAGTTTTATTGTTACAGTTGCTAGGATTTACTAAAATTAATTAATTTTACCTATTTATCCTTCAGTAGCGTCTAAAAAGATTGGATAAGGGTTAATTTTCCCCTTAAAATTTTGATAAGACAAAATAAGTTTTTCCGACTTCTTAGACTTCGCGAAAAACTGTCCATTTTGTTGTACGTACCTTTCAATAACACCCTGTATATGTATTGTCTTCCCAGTTTAAAGTGGTTTTTATGATAGATCCATTGTGTCGAACTTGATGATGGGGACGATGCAGTAAATCCCTAGCCATAAATAAGAAAGTGGCCGGTTTCTTAAAGGCTCTTACTTTATTATTCAACTCATATTGTCCGTAGTGGGGTAATAATGAGGTGATAATGTTTATTATCTTGTCAAAAAAAACACTTTCAGCTGGGAGTACGCTATATGTGTAATATCCTCGGTCGGAAATGAAAAACATAGGAATGCATAACCTCAGTAAGCAAAATTTTTTTCGTATTGGTTTCGCAATTGTCTCTCTCCACCTAGTCGAGAGATTCCCTGCACGCCGCCCTCTGCATGTCGTACCTCCACACACTTGTGTCTGTGAGTTTGTGTACATATTTCTGTATTCATTGATGTATCATACATACATAAAGAGCGAATTTTAGGCTAGAAAAATACAGGCAAAATAGGCCCTAAAATAGGCGATAAAAACGAGGGATTTAGGTCCCCTAAAATTGTAAAATAGGCGCTTTAGGTAAGTTTTAGGAAGAATAAATTTTACGTAGCGTATGGTTTTCTTTATGATCTACATTTATTTTATTATTTTACGTGAGCAGCGATCCTAATATTCGTTAAAATTTGCATAACAAAATAGATATTTTTCTAAATTTTCCTTTTTGCCTGTAGGACATTTTATACCTAGAGAAGGATCTTTGAACATCATACGATGTTAAAGGAGAATATTTAAAATTAGAAATTTCAGTGGATTTAATTTTTAAATCTTTTTCTACATTTTCGCCTTGTAATACTGCAAAGCTCTTGGTCTCCGGTATTTTTTTTTTTGTAAAGTATTGTGGTGACAGAATTTAAATCAAAACTTTCGCGCTGAAATTAATATGCACAGTAACGCTTGCAGGGTAGTCGGACAATTTGGCGCTAGGGGTTTTTAGTTAGAGGGTTGGTGGTTAGACCGAAGCAGTCTGCATGTGTTGGTGTGAGTGTAAACACGTGGTAAGAGCTAGTTTAAATTAGTTGGTTTTGGTAGTTAATAAAAGGGAGGAAGCCTTTGTTTAACGACAATCAATCGTAACCAATGTCACTCAGTTGTCCCAACCCGCGCGGCTAATTTTTGCGGCTTTTAATAAAAAAAACGTGATCTTTCAACGCGAAACACGTGCTGCAAATTTGTTTTATTGTTTGTAAATTCACCAATTAAGTTAGTTTTTCTTAATCGTCAGCTAGTGCAAACACAATTTATTAAATAAACCGCGTGCTAGAAGATTTCATGAAATTCACTTAGTCAGGAAAACACCTTGTTGTTTAATTACGAATAGGTATCTGGATGCATATACGTAAGTGTTACATTATAACAATTCTTAATTCTTCACACAAGATTGCTAATAGTTCATTTACGGCAGCGAAACAAGTTCATTATAATGCGGACTGGCGGGGGGTTAAAATAGGTTAAAATAATTCCTTCCCTTAGGCGGGTATCATCGTTATTATCATCGTTATCATGATCACATCACTGGGGCATATCCTCACCACGCTACAGATTGATTACTTCATCGAGGCTTGTCCTCACGACGCTACAAATTGATTACTTCATCGAGGTTTGTCCTCGCAACGCAAGAGATCAATAACATCAACGAGGCTTATTCCTCCCACCGCTAAAATATATATCATCGAGGCAATTCCTCGCAACTATAAAAAAAATACATCACCGACATGCTTTTCCCCCGCAACAATGATTGGATCTTTTTGTGTTGTTTTGTTGGAGTAACCAGTTCGCGGTATTCTAAACTCTCAAAGTAAATTGTTTTTTTTTTAAGTGACCAATCACTTAGATCATGATATAATTTGACATAATGTAAACTCTTTGTTTGAATCATTGAAAAATGGTGGCAAATATTAATTTCATGTAAATTTTGTTAACTTTGCAAATTTTCACCTCATACAATATTTCTCTAATCTCACAATTTTAACCTCAGTAATTTTCTTTTGTTGCATAATTTAAATTGAACATTTGCACAAGTTTACTTCACAACAAATCTTTTGTTCTATAAATCTTCGTTAGTTTTGTTTTGTAAATACCTTATTGATGAATGTTTCTATTATATACCTATATACATTATTTGATGTCCAATTTTTATCTCACATTTGTTGTTTAGAATTTCACAAGATTGTATGGCGAATTTAAAGATTGTTTATTGCTCTTTTAACACTTGTTCAGTTGTTGTTAATATCAGAGTCATAAGAAATTGAACATTTAAAAATGGAATGAGGTTAAATAACACCGAAACACATAGCAGAAGCGCAGGGCAGTTACTTATCGGCGGAGTGACCGTCTCCGTCGCGGCCAAACAATTCGTCCAAATATGTAAACAAGCGTGATCTGGATGCTGTAGCGAAGTAAAGTGCGTTAGATCACTGCATGTTGAACAAAAATGTGATCTAGGGTTACTTATACACAACTTCCCTCGCCTTTCAAATACAGTCGAACAAATACAGAATTTAGCTTTGTCTTTAACTGATCAATCAAATTGTGTCCCCCCATTTCAAAAGGTCACGAGCCGCCACTGCCGCTTTATCACAAAAATAAGTATGATTCACACTTAGAATGATCACCAAAAATTTGACGCGGACCATTCAGAATATCAGTTTCAAGTTATTTCCTCCAGACGTTTTTGATAGTTCTCGTAATTTATTGCAATAATTCCGCAAGATGTGGTTCCGGCATTCAACTTCTTCCATAAAAATGCTTGGACTGTATGGTTTATTATCTCGAATTTTTTTAAAACCACTACTGTCATCATCACCTACAATTTTTGAATAAATTAAACCACACATTTCTACTGATTTTTGGCATTCCGCTAAGATAATACTACTTACTCTCCATTGCTGTGAGGCCTAGTTCCAATTTTTGAAACATTTATGAGGTTATTTTTTAAATGTTCATTATGTGTGCATGTGAGACAATATTTATTTTGTACAGCCATATAATAGTACATTATGGAACTAGTGGATGAAGTTGAATTTCAACGGCGAGAGTGATTTTTTCACACGAGCGAGTGCAACGAGCGAGTGCGAAAAAGAAACTCGAGCCGTTGAAATTTCTTCATCCGCGAGTTGCATATACTATTTTTTCTAAGAAATTAGGAAATAAATGTTTGTTTATGGTAGGTATTTTATTTTTGAAATACATTAACTGTAATAGAACAATTTGTGCAATTATCACCAATAATATTTACACTTTTATCGTAAGTATTATTTGAACTTGTATCTTTGTTTAAACTTAGTTGGCTGCTTCCTGTATCAATAACTGCACTTGTTGAAGTTGATGGTTTATCTATAAACAACCTGTTTGCAATATCTTTTCTTGCAGATAACGATTCGTCGATGTATCCTTCAGCTACGGTGGATGATTTCCACCCACCGTGTCTTTTTAACATCATAATATCGCCGCCTGCATTCACTAATAAAGTCGCAGAAGTTCTGCGGAATG